CTGGTGCCGGAGACCTGGTGCCGCGCGCAGGAGGAGTCGCGCAGCAAGGAAGCGGCGAGGAGAGCGAGAGGAAGAAGCCGCCGCGCGTCCCGTCGCGGACGGCAGTCCGTCGATCGCCTGTCAAAGCATTCGCCGATGCTTTCGCATCGGACAGTCGCGTGGTGTCCGTCAGCGTCGCTCAATCGCGTGTCTCAATCATACCTGTCGAGAGTAGACAAAGAAAAAATTTGACGGAGGATTGACGGACTGCTGTCTGCCGCTGTCGCTGGACGGACGGACGGACGGACGGACGGGCGGGCGGTGAGAATCCGGCGGAAAGCGCGCTAAAAGCGCGACGACGCGCGCGTCTTTTGAATTCCGCGAATCTAACTCGTTCGCGGTTTCACCGGCTAGGCTGCGCGCGGTGACACGCGCGGGGTTTTCACTTGGAAAGCGCCAAACGCGCCATTACCATGCGGCGTGATCACCGCGAAAATAAACGCGCGCGCACGCGCATCTGACGCGCGCACAATTTAGAAATTAGGACACCGCGGATGTCCCACTTGTGCCGGCGTGTACCTCGCGATTCTCACGTGCGCGCGCTGCGCTCGTCGCGCGGAAAAGTTATGTCGAATTCGGCCGGACGCAACGGTGCGCACCGATGCGCACTGCTCAACAGTTGAGAGAGAAGCGAGAGGAGAGAACTCGCGACGCGCTCGCGCGCGACTCGTCGATTCTTGCCGTCGAACGGCTGCGAAGTGGCTGAGGCGGCACGTCTGTTCGTATTGTAATACGGAGAGGAGAGCGGGTCAGGTTGGCTCGAAAGCTCGCGTGTGGCCGCGGTCTGTCTCGTTTTCGTATCGATCGGTGAGAGAAATGGCAGTGAGACAAGGCGTCGTCTTGAACAACGAACAAACAGCGAGTCACAAGGAGTGAAAAATTCCTTAAGGAATTTTCGTGAAGGAGAAACAGCGGAAAAGTGAGCGCAATTAAATGACACGAGTGAAAAATTAAAAATTCCGAGAGAGAGAGAGAGAGAGAGAGAGAGAGAGAGAGAGAAAGATAAATTGAAGATACATGAAAACCGTCAGACAAAAGAAACCTTTTCTCTCGAAAGAGAGGGAACACAGAAAGAAAGTGCTGAGGCTCAATTCTCGAAAAATATGCATCGCATACGATATTTCATGAATGTCACTAGATATCACGATTCTCAACCAATTAAATAGCCTGATTGATGAAATATCGCATACGATATTTTCCACACATTTTCGAGAATTGAGCCCGTGAAAAGCTGAGAGGAGCACACACTTGACGACGATTCCTCTCCCGACGATTCTTCTCTCTCTCACTCGGCGAACGCGAAAGCTACGGCCAAGTTGAGCCTATTATCGTTCTCCGATCCCGAATCGCAGGCGCTGTTGAAGCAGCGCGTTTAACGCGCCAAACGCTTCGCTCGGGAATTCAATTTCACCGGGATGCGAGAGCGCACGTGCGAGCGACGCGACGAGCGTCTCATCCGCGCGGCGGATGCACGCGGCGAGCGACAGCTCGTCACGTTCTATCGCGCCGCTCCGTCGCTCTCCCACGAACCTGTCGAAGCTTCAGCCGGCAGTCCGCGGCTAATTAATTGTCCGCGGCCGCGGCTCGTACGTCTTGCGAGCGCGCGCGTAGGAGGAAGGTCGGCGGAATTCCAGCGTGGACGTTAATCATCCTATTCATCGATCCCGATGAGATCGATGGCGGGCGGGCGCCGCGTATATGGGTTCCGCAAAGTCCGACCTCGCGACTTTCCAAAGAGGCTTGGCCGCGCGCGCGCGCGCGCGCGCGCGCGACCACGAAATCGGCCGCACGCGCTTTAAAGCGCGGCCGACCGTCGCCGGCGGACGTTAATCAACGTCGCCGGACAATTCGGCGGAGAGCGCGTCCCGTTTCCCGACCTACGTGACTTGTGAGACCAGCGACTTGTTTAACCCTTAAAAGGCCACCGTGGGTGAAATTTCACCCCCATGCGAATTCTCGATCTCTTATTGAAAAAATGTGACCACACTGACAATAATAATTTTACAGGTATTTATTTGCGCTATCAGTGGTGGACAACATTAGGATAAAACAGATCAATTCTCGCGTGCGCTTTGCTATAAACATAACGAGAAAAGTTAGTTCGGGCTGATATTTTAGGGTTAACACACACCGGCGCTTTTTGATTCCCATTGTTCGCGCGGACAGAAGCTCGACCGAATCGATGCAGATACGGTAAATGACTGTAATTCGGTACGCATGCGTGAAACTATTACCCCTCTCTCTCTCTCTCTCTCTCTCTCTCTCTCGTTTGATTGGCTCATTGTAAGACTGATGTCTCAGAGAAAATGTATTATACTTTGTATGTATGTGTACCTAATGAGGGACGCGAGGGTATCGCGATGCCGGCCACCGGCGACAGTCGCGGAATTTAATGTATTTAATTAGACATGTGTGCGATCGGCGTTTCGGCTTGGGAAATTAATTATCACCCGGTCTCTAGCGGTGTGTGTGTGTGTGTGTGTGTGTGTGTTGTGTAGAAATCGATTTCGGGCGAAATATATTGAGCCGGGGATATCGATTAAGCTGATTAATTCAAACGCTCGGCCGAGGTTAAGAGAAAATGGTGAAGCGCTTCGAATGCCTAATGGCCTAATCGTCCCCGTCGGGGGATTCAAAGCGCGGAAGTAATTGCCCGGCTCGCCGAGTCGATTCGCGGCTCCGTATCTGCCTTTCGCCGCGGATCCGCTCCTTTCGCTGTTTCGGACGCGATGCGCCGCTTAATTGATTCCTTCCGGCACACGGTAATCACGAGAGCCGTGCTCTCCGCGGGTCAGATCGGATTGATTTCGCGATCCTTTTCCGGCTAGCACGCCGGCGAGCTATCGCACACGTCGCTCTCGCTCTTCGTTAATACAAACAGGTAAATAATAGTCCGAGAAACCGACCATTAATAAAACGCGAGAGGATCGATCCCGTCGACACGTGCGCGCGCGCGCACGCGCGCGTTTTCTTCTCGCACGCGGAGCGCCGAGAGGCGCCCCGTCGCCTTCGACGTCGGCGCGGCGAGGACTTTGTGCTCGGCGAACGCACGAAAAATCCTTCGATATCGCTCGTTATCGACGGTCGCCTCGATAAATTTCTCGGCGAGAAGGCGCCACGCGGAGATTAAAGTCAGAAGACGAAGAGCAGGGAGGCGGAGGCGGAGCAGCAGAAGGAGGAGGAAGAGACAAGGTTGACAGGACACTAAGCGACCCGAAAAAAAATGCAAAGTGCCGTCGCCGAGGATCCTTTCTTCCTTCCCACTCGGAGAGATCAGGCCGTTCGGCTGATCAAGGTCGCGCGCCCGCTCCTTAATGTCGTTTCGTTCGTGACAATTAAATGCAATTGCCGAGGCCGCGCGCGTCGCGAGCGCGCCCGCGCTTGCGGACAAAGCGGGCGGGCGGGCGCGCGCTGCGCCGAGAGTCGACGAGCGCGAACAAAGAGGTCCTGCGGCTATTTTTAGCCCTCTCTCGCCCGTCGTCGTCGTCGTATCCGCGTGCGCCGATTCGCGTCTCGCATGTGTCGTCCCTTAACCCGGGCTCTCCGGCGCGCGCGCGCGCGCGGATGAGCCGGCCGCATCGTCGGCCAAACCAGAATATTTGCACCGGCGCCCGTCGCTGGCGGGCACTTTTGCGAAGCCCGCGGGAATTTCTGCGCACGTCGGGACTCCAAATCGGGACGTGGGTTCAAGGGTTGAGCACGCTGCTACGTATAATCGCTCGACGTCGATGGGAATGAATGCGAAATTCAAACTAAGGGGACGGTCGAGGGAGACAGGAGAGGGAGGGGGAGAGACAGAGAGACACACACAGAGAGAGAGAGAGAGAGAGAGAGAGAGAGAGAGAGAGAGAGAGAGAGAGCCACGAACACGCGCGCGGTATCTTATCGCTCGATGAATAAATATAAGCACGAGTATATATAACGTGAGAATATGTAAGTCGTTATTAAAGTCCATTAGCGGACTGTGTCGCGCTCATGAAACGTTTGTTGCTGAATAAAACTGCTCGATCGATATGTAATTTTTTCTTAATCCCGAGTACTCTCTCCTTGTACGACATTTGTATGTTACACCCGCGACCCTTCGAGGAAAATGGCTCGAGTAATCTGAGAGCTTTAGGGAACAAACGCGCGGACTCTTCCAAGAAGAAGAGTGTTTCGTAGAATAATTGTGGCTTCTAGCGGGCAGATTATCATTCTCGGGGGTAGACGCGTCGCTCGCGAGGCGAGCGAAAAAAATCTGGGAAAAAGATGAGAGGACCGCGATGACTCGGGTGGTGTTTTCGAGGTCGGACGGATAACGCTGAATTACGCGAGTCTGAGATCGTGCTCCTTTCGTGCCTCGGAAATATCGCGGAGATGGATCCGTGATGCCGCGACGCGGCGCGGCGCACCGGACGACCGTTTTATCGCGGTCGAGCGATTACTTCCGGGTGCCGCATCCTCCAGATGTACGATGATTAGCGGTAGATTGGCGCTAAACCGCGGCACGAATGCATCGTGCTGAATGCCAAATGAGGGGGAATCCGTTTTCCCAGCGGCCGACAACAGGAAATTTATACCATCGATCATGCTCGATTCCACCTCCCCCTCTTCCCCCCTGCCGCCCCCTCCCTGTCGCCACCTCGGCTCCCTGCACTCGCCTTCCCTCTTTCGATTACTGCTGCCTCATCATCTCCACGGTTGCGCAAACCGCTTTCGTGATTTCAGCGTCGAGCGGAAAAAGAATGGCCGCTTTTAGCCGGCGGAAACGCAAAATCTTGGCCGCGGAATGCGAAGATCGTCGTCGCGCGGAGAACGACGTTTGGAGGAAGAACGACGGTATAACAAGGAATCGGTAACGTCACCTATATCTGTAATTTATGCGAGACTGTTGTCGCAGCGAGAGAGGAAGAGAAAGAGAGAGAGAGAGAGAGAGAGAGAGAGAGAGAAAGAGAGAGATCCAAACTCGTCGATCAAGGTGCCGTTTGAAAAAATTAAACGAGAGAATTCAAAATGATCGCGGCGGATTGAAAAAGGAAGAAAAACCACGAAAGTACTCGAGGTATCTGAAGGCGGTTCGCGAAAACAGCGCGATTAAGGATCACGAGAATCCGCGGGCGTCTCCGTAAGTTTTCAGGACACAAAGTAGCCACACGACCAGGCTCCTCCTGGTCGCTAGGCTTCGTTATTCCTGCTTTTTGCTCGTTACAAAGCGATATAGCCCGCTCGGACGTCGGAGGATAATGAGCATTCGGTAGCACGAGGGCTCGTTTCTGCTGTCCCCTTCCTCCCTGCCCATTTTCTCCGTCCGTGCGTGTGTGCGTGCGTGTGCATGTGTGGCGTTGCCGTATGTATGTGTGTGTCGGTAATTCACGGCCTCTGCGGTGAACAAGCTTCTCGCTCGATCTGCTTCGCTCGCGTGCTCGTGCGTATGAGCGAGAGAGGCGCGCGCGGTCGCCTTTGTGGGTCACACACAAGCGCAGTGAAAGCAGAGATTTGACACTGGTCTGACCACTTCTTCGCACCCTCGCGCGTATAACTCACGACGCCGCGCGCCTCCTCGGAAGCGTCCGCTCGTTACTCATCGCGCCGCGAAAAAAAGGAGAAAGAAACGGCCAAGGAGGGGCGAAATAAAACGCAGGGCGATGGGCGGAGGGACGAGCGGCATAAGAGAGGCAGAGAAAAGAAAAAGATCTGGAATCTCTTCACCGCGCTTCCAGGAAAAACCTCGCGAGACGCCGCGCGACTATTTTCGTACGGCGACGAGTCTCGACCATTCCGAGGCGCGGCATCGCGAGTTTCATAGAGGACGAGAGGAATCGCCCCGCACAAAGATACACACACGCACACACGACGCCAACCGTGCCCGCTGGAGATGAGCGGAGCTTCTTTACGCGCAAATCGTTGTCTCGTTATATTCTCCGAGAGCATGAGTAAGTTCCGTCGCGTGCGCGAATATGCGAAATTCATTGATGGCCGCCTCGTAGTTAACACGTTGGCAATTAAATATTCATTGATTATTGTTTGTCAAAGTTTAGCCCGAATGGGCGAAAATACGGTAAATACGGAGTGACCTTTGTAGATGCGCACGTTGTTAGCTCGTTCTGCCGGCTCCCATTGGCCGTAACTTCGTCACGCGCAATCGGTTACGTCTTGCGTATGCAAATGTATCAAACGCAACGCTACACCGTACCGTCACACGGCAGTCGACGTGGTGAAATTAACGAGGTGGACAATGCAACTTCATCGCGGCGAGTTTCTTTCGAGGGAGAATCAGCCGTTTCTCTCCGTCGCGCCGCGTCGGAATGAGACACGTGGGAGCTGAAAGAAACGTCGAATGGGGGAAAAGACGGAAAGAAGACGGTATTGAGGTCAGTGCAATTCGCCCGGCGTCGTTTTATACAGCTTCGATACGCCCAGCCGCTGTTTTACACGTAAAAAGCGAAGTTTGACAGGCCGGCTGGAACACGTTTTGTCGCTGGGCCTCGCGCGCCGGCCGGCGGAGAAATTCTCTCGCCGTCTCTCCGTTTTGTTCTTATCCCGCCGGGTAGGCGGATAAGTTAGTGCGAGGCCGATCCGGAAAGAGGAGGCGATATCTCTGGGTTAGGTCGGGACAGTTAAACGCGCGCTTCAGCTCATATGAGTTGCAACCTCTAAACGCATCGGGGGAGTCAATAAATTTCAAATCGAAGCGCCGTCGTCACCACGCGACACCCCCAATTTCCGGTCGCGGAAAGCTTGAGTGACTCGCGAAGAGCCTCGTGCGGCCTCCGAGTCTCGTTCCTGGAGCGACTTTCCGTTCTCTCTCTCTCTCTCTCTCTCTCTCTCTCTCTCTCTCTCTCTCTCGCGCGCGCGCGCGCGCTTCGGGACACAACGACCACGCAAGGCGGGCCATGAGCGGCGCGAGATAAAGAAAAAAGATGGCCTCCGCCGAAATTAATTCGAGCGACGACCGGTCCCGCGATAAATACACGTCGCGCACTTTCTCCTTTGACACATCCGGTTAACACCTATGCAATCCCGGCGATTCCTAAATTTTTTACGCCGCGCTCGGGAAAGAAGCAGTCGGGCACGCGCGGTGAAATCGAAATCGACGACGACGACGACAACGACGACGACGACGAAGACGACAACGCGTGTTTGCGTATCCTCCCTTAAACTAAAAATATCCGACGCTCTCTCGCGACTGGTATCAGTTTCACGCTTTGACGACCATCGGCTTCATTCGAGTGGGATCCCCTTTATTGATGTTATTAAGCACAAACGTACGGCCTGTTGAAAGGAAGTTCCTCGTCGCGCCGGAATAAGTCTGAAAAGAAGGAGGCGCGCTTTCCTCCGTTCACGAGCGAGCGACGACGCGGTGCCGTGCGGATTACAATGCCTCGAATACGACAAGATTAACGGCTCGATGCCTCGTGGGACTTTCGGAAGAAAGCCTTCCGCGTCGTGACAATTTATGAACCCGCCGACTTTTCCGGCCTCGTACGAGCGCGAGCGCGAGCGCGTGCGCGACGAGGCCGCGAGTGAGCGCTCTCAGTCGGAAAAGTACGCGCCGCTCGCCGAGGCATTCCACAAAGTCTCCGTCATAACGGACGATCGTTTCGCTCAAGAGAGATCGAAAGTCCATTCCAGCCTCGATGCGATCAACAATCTCGGATGCCTCCGATTGCGTCACTGCGGACTTAATGAGATTTCCATTAGGGCTAGTCGCGAGATAATCTCGATAGATTGGCGAGCGACAAGGAAAAACGCTCGCGAGTCGCAACGCGATTGCGGGAAGGGAAGGAAAGGAAAGGGAGGTGCGCGCGAACTCGGTGGGGTGAGAAAGACGGAGACGCGAGGAGAGGGGGAGGGGACAGGTCAGGGGGAAATCGTGCGGCTACAGGTGGCTCGGCGAACAATGCTCACGACGCAGTCGCTACAATGGAGATCATAATCAAACCCTCGACGTGTAATGACTTATGGGCGCTCTCGCTCGTCCGCGTGGCGAACAATAGATCGGCGACGGAGATGTTTACGGCGGGAAACCGGCGCGGCGCGCCACGCCGCGCCACGCCGGCCGGACCGTCTCGCACGCTGCCTGCGATCTTACGCTGTCTCACGGTGGGACCGAGAGCGGGGTCGATTGAAGTGCCACTTGAAAACTCGCCGCGCCGTTTGCAAGCGAGAGCTACCGCGAGGAGACGACGGCCGACCGCGGGAGGCCGCGCCGCGCGGAGATGCAGAGACGCGGAGAAGATTCACTCGCGGATCGCGCATGTTTCTCACGATAACTATAAATGTAATTCCCCCCGAGAGAGATAATTAACAAGTCGAGTGGCCCCGGGGGTCACCGCCGGTGACTGGTACTCTGTGATATTGACGCGTCCCATTAATTTACTCAGAACACACAACCGCACAATTGTACGTAACGAATGAAATATCCGGCCGATCGAGAGCCGACGGAGCGAACTATCGCGAACGGTGCACGATGAATTGATCGATTGACGAGTATACGCGTTCCTTGTGTGATTGTTCAAACTTGATCATTATTTAAATCGATTGTATCTCAACTTGACGTCAAACTTCGAAATGCTCGGCGGAAAGCAGCGCGGCGCAGTCGACGTGATGAGAGAGAGAGACAGAGACAGAGAGAGAGAGAGACAGAGAGACAGAGAAAGAGAGAGAGAGAGAAAGAGAGAGAGAGAGAGAGAGAGAGAGAGGATGTGGCCAAAGTGAACGGAATAATCAGCGGGAGAATCTCGCTGCCCACGAGAGAATACGGAACCGGCCGATAAAAAAATTCCGAGGCAAGAAACCTCGCGTAACCGTCCGCTAAATTTAATTTATGCGTCGCGCGGGGTCCAGCGGTTTCACCGAGCCGGGTAAGCATGGCCGCTTGTCACCGGGGCGCGGCGCGTTTATTCCGCGTTAATCGCGGTCGTGCTCGCAGCCGATCCCGCCGTTCCGTTGCGGCGCGGCGCGCGTTGCAGTCGCCGGAGACTTCAACGCCGTAGACTTGCGAAAGGGGGCGACGCCGCGTCAACGTAACCACCGAACTTTCCTTCCATTCGCTATAAAACAGGGAATTAGCGACGTTACGGGGGCAGAGAAGGGAAGGCGGGGAGGAAAGGGGCCGCGGCACTGGCGACTCGCGGTATTTCGGTTACGAAGACGGAAGCGGACACGCGGATTCGCGCGAATCACGGGGTTAAAGTGGAACTGAAGCGGCGGGAATGCGCCGCTTTTTTTTTCGAGAACGCGCCTCCGCGACGGCGGTGTCCTCGCGTGATGTCGCGTTCCCCTTTTCGCCAGGCACGCACGTTTCTGCGTTTGTGTAGAAGCGGCGGCGGCGGCGGCGGCGGCAGCGCGGAGGGCCGTGATGAATATAACGGTGTGTTGGTCTCGCATTACCGAGCAGCGGCTGCGGCCGCGGAGGAGAGCGGGAGTGCACTGCGTATATACGTTTGATTGGATCATTCGAAACCGAGACCCGAGAGCGACCGACCGACCGGTCGATTGGTCGGTCGCTCGACCGGCTGGATGAACGAACGAACGAACGAACGAACGAACGAACGAACGAACGAACGAACGGACGTTCGGTCGGCCGACCGGCCGAAATCGTTTCCCTCGCCTCGACTGAGAGATGACGTGAACCTGCAATTTAAACTGCATTTTCGCGTGAGCCGTTATAATTGAGGACCGGCCGCGAAACTGCGCATCGGCCGCGCAGCTGAGGTCATGATGCGATCGAGATTCATGCCAAATCGATCTCGCGCGATCGACGAAATTCCGCCGCACGCACGCACATCGCGACGATGAAGGCGGCGCGAGGTCGAAGGGCGGCGCTGGCCCCATTCCGATTCGTATCTTTCGACCTTTCCTTCGATTACCATACCTGTGCTACCACGATCTGGCTGGAGGTTCGGCCGCGGGTGCAGAAATGGAGCGACTCTCGAAGCGTGGAATAGCGCCAAGGTGCCAAGGTGACGAGAGGTGAAGCTTTTGTTACAAACCGGTGCGCAGTCGGCGAGCAATGTGCGTCGTGATGATTTCACGTTGAAATGAGCGTGAGTGTCCGACTGAAAAATTCGTAATAATTAACACAACTCGTGATAATAAAAAAAACCTTGAAGTAATTAAAAAAGATTCGCGATGATCAGAAATATTCCTGATAATTAGGAAAATGGCGCGATAGCCAGAAAAGATTCCTGATTGATGGGAAATTTTTCCCAGTTGGAAAAATCTCATCGTTGGGAAAAGTGTACGAACGAGACCCGTTCCCGTGGATTTTCCGAGACTCGATCGAGACCGCGATCTTCTCGACATCATCGCACGTTCTCACATCCTCAGACTCTCCTGACTACGTCACGCGCCTCGCACGTTATCGGAATCTTTTCGCGCGTCCACATTCTCGAGTTTCAGACAGTCCGATGTTCCTCCGCGGCCGCCCTCCCGGGACTCCCACGGAACGTTAGATCCTTTCAGGTCCTGGAGGCCCGAGGTTGCGGAGGAAATTGCATCGGTGTAATACAATTACAATTCATATCTCTCGAATGGTACGTCCATTTACGCGGCACGACGATTAACGGCGTTTAAATTGAATTCGTCCGCGCGCGAAAAAGCCACGCGACTACCAACGGGAATTAGCTCGGCTCGAAATTGACGTTTCCGGCCGCGCCTATTCCTACTGACTGTTATTGCTTCTCAACGGCACACTGACACTGACACCGTGAAAGTAATTCCGCTTGCCTGTCAATGTGGTGTCGAGTACGAATCATATTATTTTTCCACATAGTATTTTCTATTAGATGTGGAATATCGCCCCTACCACCTCGCGCGCGCTCGCAATTTCCACTATAATACGCGTGGCGTTTAATATATGCCACATATAAAGGGGAATCGAGAAGGAAGCAAAAATTTCTCGCGCTCAACGCTCACGCGTATCAAAGCTAAGCGCCGCGGAAATCGAGAAGAGAGAGGTCTCTCTCTCTCTCTCTCTCTCTCTCTCTCTCTCTCACCCTCTCTTCCTCTGCCCTCTCCTACGCGCGCCTTGGAACAATTTCGCGCGTATCCCTCGTGTGTGTTGAACTTCCTCCAACTTGCTCGTTTGTTTACCCGTCTGCGGGCCGACAAGTGCTCTAATTCTATTGCGTAAAAGCGCTACTCGTATAAGAAGGGGAAAAAGAGAGCGAGAGGGACGGGCGGACGGTGAAAAGAACCCAGCCGCCGCGCGAATTCAAGTTTACCTTATTTATTACCTCATTACTTCCTCAATTAAGTTTCTCTGAAAGCGCATTAGACTGGATTAAACGTGCGAAATGAGAAACACACGGGGACGGATAATGTTATAGGACTCCGCGGTGCTGATTTCGCAATTCTCGTCCTGCCGGCAGCAGCGGCGACGGCAGCGGCCGCCGCACCACGCTACGCTCAATATTGTAAGAGTAAGGTGGTGTAGGATGTATGAACAACATGGGAGCGAGTCCCTAGAGACGTGAACTTTCTTCTTTTGTTTATTTACTTTATACGTAGAGCCGAATGAATAGACGAGCAGCTCGAGGTAGTAAACACAAAAAAAGCAATAGATAGCGTAACGATAATATTGGGTTGGCAACTAAGTGATTGCGGATTTTGTCGACAGATGGATTTTACACTTTCTTTTGTTTCGCTAACGTGTTCAAAGTACCTAACCTATATTTTTTTCTTATTGTTTGGACTTCTACCTTTCATTTAGTACAAAAATTATATCGATTAGTTGTTTAGTTTTATTTTTATCCCAATTTAAAAATGGAAGAGCAAGACGTGCACTTGAGACATATTTTATTGTGTTATTTCCGAAAAGGTAAGAACGCATCGCAAGCACACAAGAAGTTATGTGCCGTAATATGGGAATGAAGCCTTGAAAGAAAGGCAGTGTCAAAATTGGTTTGCCAGATTTCGTTCTGGTGATCTTTCATTGAAAAATGCTCAACGATCTGGCCCCGTCCAGTTGAAGTCGATGAGACCCATATCAAGGCCATTATCGATTCAGATCGTCATAGCACAACACGTGATATTGCAGAGAAGCTCAATGTATCGCATACATGCATTGAAAAAAATTTTAAAAAGCAAATTAAAAATTTTGAATTTTCATTCTTATTTAAAATCCGCAATCACTTAGTTGCCAACCCAATAGAATTCAGACGGCCGTCGGCGGAGGTCGAGCGGGGGGGGATACGGAGACGCACCGAGTGCTAGAACACCTGCGAGTCAGACTTTCGCGCAATTTCCTCACGTGACAATTGATCAAAAACGGCGGTTCGAGTGGGAATGCGCACACTCGAACCGCTGGCGAGTACTCGGAGGGATCTCCGAGGGGAAGCGCACGAGGAAATCACCAACGTATCCCAGCCTAAAGCTCACCATCCAGCACCAAGAGGTACATCAAGGGACATCAAGGGGAAGCGCACGAGATGTCCCTCTCAGCTACTGACTCAGATCACTCAGGTCATCACCGGACTCCCCCTCCCCTCCCCGGGAAAACGCACGGCGAGGCCCGGTCTGGCGATCAAGAAAACACCTGAATCGGACCGGTGTCGAAAGAGAAACGCATGACGACACCGGTATTCGGATTTAAGAGAAACCGGATTAATTGTATAAGGGAACAATGCTCGACCCCGGTCACCCGTTGAATATTAGAAAACAATGATTTAATTAACACTCACCAACCTTCTGCATCAGTGGCGATGGCACGTCTACTTCGGGCGTCCAACAGCGACTAACTAACTCTATCGCGACATCGTTTTTATGATCCGCGTCTCTGTCTTCCAAACGTAAACACATCGTTCTCCCCACCATTGACCTCACTGTGATCGTTGTTGTTTTTCAACGCTCCGACCGCCCATTTCGGATTTTCGTATGCGATACTCACATCCTCGTACGATATGAATGGTTAGGTATTAAAAGCAAGAATCGATCCAATATTTTTATTACAATTATATGCTTTTCTTCAAAGCTATACACAACGCGACAGATCGACGGCACTCTTTAGAAAGGGGGCGGGGAGAAAAGGAAAAAGGGGCGAACAAGCAAAGAAAGAGTAGAAAAAGAATATTTGTCTCACAACATTGACACGACACGTTCGATCGCCGTCGCAAACGCCGTATAAGACTGAAAATTGGAGAACAGATCGTTATCGTAGCCGCTTTTTTCCCGCGGATCCCGCAGATCGTGTCTCAACCGGCGCGTTGCCCGCGAAATTGCAGCGACTATCTTTCACCCTCCCCCTCCCACCGCCGTTTGTTCTCTTTCTAGATTCTTATTTAAGACTGTTCCACTTCTTTTCTCAAATTGAACTACTTAATATTTTTATTCTCATTTAACTGAATTCCATATTTCATATTCACATTCCTCGAGTTTTTCCTCCTCACCGAACGGAGATTACAATATTTACCGGTCGCGCGAACATTGTTGCCTCCTTAAGCGATTACATCGCTTGTACCGTTGCATCCCCGACCGATTACATCGGTCCGCGGCTCGTTACATTCGCGGATGATTGCGCCCTTAAATCGCCGGCATCCTCCGCGCCCTCCGAGCGGAGACGGCGAGATCCTCGCCGCAACGAATCGCGGCTCCTCGCTCCTCGCGAGAAGTGCATTTCGCGGTTACGACGAAGGAAGGACCCCACGACGCCGCCGCCCCGGCCCGTAGTCGCGGCGTTATTCCGACAAATTACAGAGAGTGAGGATACTTCCTCGAATCGACGGGCGAGAGAAGCCCCCCGGTCCGAGAGAGAACGCCTTAAACGCGGTCCTGTCACCGCAAAACTCAATATTTGCGGTAGCGCACGGCGCGCGCGTCTCTCTCTCTCTCTCTCTCTCTCTCTCTCTCTCTCTGTCTGCCTGGCGCCAATGAGTTTGCCGTCCCGTCACCGACACGATTTCCGCGGCCGGGAATTTCGCGAGTCACGTACGTGAAGGCGAACGCCGTAGCCGCGAGGGCACCGGTCGCGGCCTCTCCGTGCCAATTTCGCGCGCTGCCAAATCGCAACGGCCGATACGCGTCAGATTTAGATCCGAGCGAGTCGAGTTGATAGGAGGCGCGTTTGATGGACTGATTGCACTGAGATCAATGATCTTGTAGTCGACAGCCAAAAATTATTTAAGTACGAGAAATTAGCTGCAATGGCTAAGCGTTGACTAGTAGCAAGCACTGCAAGATATTGCGTATATTTTGTATCTAACCAATATAAATGACAGAGACAAAATTGATGACCGACCGTTCGTCAAGTTTAGCAAGAAAATCTCTTTGTGGCAGCCAGTCAAATTGTAGTCAGCAAACATGTGACAAAGGTGCCTGTGGTGGACAGAGAAGACTGGCGACGAAAGACAAATGTACAATTCTTACACCCAGCGCTGTATTTTGTATAACTCGCCCAATTTTTCTAACTGTTCTATCAAAATTACTCGCGTTCAATTGTTATGCGCGTGCTACGCGCCGGCGCACGGAGATGAGCACGCGTGCTAAAACGCGAGCGGCACGCGAGTTGCGTCATCTTATTCTTATTTTCGCTTAACGCGGTGATTCATATTCAGCTACGGGACCTAAATTTTCCTACAGATATCGCTAGAATGTTGCTGTAAATTCCATGTACCGCAGGCAATTTTCTAGCAGATAGACAAAAATTGGCGGAAAATTTTAGCTGTAATATTTACAATCCTAGACCAGCGGAACATCTTTTTGAGTTTTTAGGGAAGAGGGTGGATGGCGGCAGGATGACGATAAGGCGTCGCGACAATTGCTCGTCGAGGAAAATCGCTGGGAACGATTTTATGACGTTCCTGGCGCGCGAGCTTCTAATTGCCGTCGAAGGTTCTCTCTTATTCTGGCGCCGTTGGGTCTTCAGACCTTCCCTCGGTTCCGTTTTGTGTCACGGATTCGCGTATTTTCATTGTCGTTACGCCGACAAATTGCAAACGCGACGGCGATCCTGAGAGAAAGAAAGAAAAGGAGAGAAGGAGCCTCGTCGGGCAAGACCGCGCGATTTGTGTTCCCCTTCGCGCGCTGATTCAATATTTGCGTAGTCCGGCTTTGCCGTCGC